GGGGGGGGTGGGTGTCAGGTCAGTCGCCTCTGAGGTCTGAGACACCCTTGGCCCCGCTTCTCTAACATACGGTGTGGGCGGCAACTCCCAGCCAGGGCGTCGGCCTTCAGGTGTCTCTGACTCAGCGCAGCTGCCTGGGCATGTGGAGTGGAGGTGTGGGCATCACTGTGCCCGCTGGCCAGGCGCAGGCGGAGAAGCAGGCAGCATCTTACCAAGAGTCACCCTCTGAGGAGGTGGTGAGTGGCCGACTTGACCCAAGTCCCTTTCTCTCCAGCGGTGGAGTGGTCATTCGGGTCTGGGCTGGCCCCTGGCAGGCCTTGTGGGAGACCCCGCCTGCAGGAGCCCAATCTGAGCAGAAAGCCTGGTCATGGGCGAGGGGCGGGGGGACCCTGTGGTCAGCAGATAAAGTAGAAGCTGAGGAGCCACAGTGACTGCTCCTCCTGGTGACGAGCACGGTTGGAGCCCCACCGAGGCAGCTTCACTGGGGCCAGGGTGCTACCGTGTGTGGCAGATGGGGCCTGTCCTCTCTCCCCAGCACTGACCCACGATGCTCTAGGTGAGAAGCTGCAAAGGCAAATTCATGCTCCAGGCCCTGCCCTGAGGCCACACCCCCAAACCTCAGTCTCGAGCTGAGTCCCCGCCCGACCCCACCCTGTCTCCCTGCCTGCCAGGCCTCACTGGGAACCAGACACTCAGTCCTGGGGCTGGGCAGCGCCCGAGGCAGCAGGGCCAGGCATCCTGGACACACAGTGTTAAGACAGACCGCACATTCCAGATGCTCCCTATGTGCCCGCTGGCTGTTGGTCCCCACTCTGCATCTGGAGAACAGAGGGGAAGGGTATCTTGCCCAGGGTCCACAGCTGGTGAGCCCAGAAATAAGCTTCCACCTTGGCTGGCACCGATGCCATCCGAGGTATGCCCGCCAATGCCCGGAGAGCAGTAAACTGAGCCCCACCTTGCTATGCCCGGGGCCACAGGGCTGTGTTCAGGGGGTTGGCAGGGACCTGAGGAGGAGAGCTTTAGTCTCTCCACAGAGAGGAAGGCCAGGGCGCCTGCGTAGAGGCTGACTGGAAGCAGGGCCTCCTGTTGCACGGGGCTTTGTTCTCTTCTTGTTGGTCCTAAATTGACACCTGGGACTAAATTCATGGAAGCTGCTGATCACTGAGGAAGTCCCCACAGTCGTGGGTGGTCTTGCTCAGCTTCTGGACGGTGGCTGCGGGTGTGGGTCAGCCTGTGTGTCTGCGGGGCTGGCCACTGCCTGGAGTTTCCGTATCACCCTGCAAAGAGGCGGGGCTCTGACCCGTGGGCCTGAGCAAGGTTGTGCGGTCTGCTGGCATCACCTAGGTCTCTGGTGCCCCATTGAGCTTGCTTTCACAGCTGGACACAGTCCTCACCAGGTCACACCTCGCCAAGCTGGCACCAGGGTACAGCCAGCCACCTCCTGCCAAGGTTCCACCCCTCAACCAAGGGGCACCCATCAGTTGGGGTCTTTTAGGGAGCTGTAGTTCTAGCAACGAGGGGTGCACAGGCAGAAGGACTGGTCAGTGCCAGGGGGCAGTCCTGAGGTCAGCAAGCACCCTGGCCTTTGTATCTGGGGACCTTGGGACCTGGGCATGGCAGCTCTGGGTGGCCCTGCTGTGTCCAGGTCAGGTCCTTCTGCTTGGAGAGCCCCAGGCTCCCAGCCAGAGTGGACAGTGTGGAAGCCAAGGCCTGGCTGGGAGGGTTCATGCTCCATCCACTCGGCCTGTGCCAAGTGGGCAGGGACTCCAACCAGCAGGGAAGAGGGTAGGCGGGAAAGGGAGGGCCTGTGCTGGGCACCTCCTCAGGCAGACACACAAGGTGGGCACGGGGCATCCAGAGGCCGCTCAGGCTTGCTGCTTCTCACAGTGGAGCGGCTGCTCCCCTCCCCGTGGGGCCTTGGCGACCTGAGGCGGTGCAGAGTCTGCAGCAATGAGAAGCCTGAGGCAGGGCCCAGAATGGGTGGGCAGAGGCGGCCGCAAGGTCTTGCGCATCTGGGTGAGTGGACATGGAAGGTGGCCAAGGCCTTGCCTGTGGGGTTAAATGGGGTTGGGAGGACTGCAGGCTTCCTGCCTTCTGCGGCCTAGCAGGGGTCCCAGCTGTGGGGCGGAGGAAAGGGTAGAATCCGCCAAGCACTCCCAGCACCCACAGGCCCGAGGTCAGAGGTACAGCTTTGGAAACTGAGGCCCAGTTTATGCTGAGTGACCAGGCTTCAGGTGGCGCCCAAGCTGGGTCCACGCAAAGGACTGCAGGACAGCCCCCTTGTCCTGGCCCTGCAGAGCAGCTGCACAGGCAGACCACCAGGGGCTGGATAGGGCCTCGTTCTGTGCTCTGGGCAGGCAGGGATGCTGCAGGACCCTCACCCAAGCAAAAGCGGGCCTGAGGACACAGGCCGGCTGGACAGGATGTGTCTCTGCCCCCTGTGGCCCTGGGTGGCCGTTTGGGTTCTTAGCTTCCTGGGTTGGGTAGGACTTGCAAAGCCATGCTGGACATGAGTGCATAGACTCCCAGGGACCTCTGGGGTCCGGCCACTGTGGGGCAGGGGCTTGAGACCTGCTCTCCAGAGTGTTTCCTCCATGGCCCATGCGTCCACTGGGGCAGAGCGTGGGGACAGGGCCCTCCGATAGGGCTGAGTCCACCCAGTGCTGCCCGCCGGGGCTGCCCTCCCACGGCTCCATGTTGCCGTTCTCAGGCCCTAAATACAAGATCGCAGCCGTACATGGTCACAGGAGGGCCTGGGATGCCCCTGACCTTTGTGACTGTCCCCAGAGGCCGCAGTGGGGACAGAGTTGTAGCCAGCTCGGCTCAGGCAGGCGGGGTGGAGGTGGTGGCAGGCTGCACTGGGTCTGCTTAGGGAAAATCATCTTTCAGGGCCCCGACCCCCAGGGCCCAGTGCCAGCTCATCCGTGCACGCCGCCCCCCATAAGTGTGGTCTGGGAAGGCGGCCTGCTGCCCACCTGGGTGAGCACGGGACATTCGTCACTCAGAGCCTGAAGGCCACCCGTGACTGGCCCTCAGGCCACCCCCTCATCGCTCCTGAGGCCGTGGGCAGCCCAGGACTGCTCAGAAATGCAGCGTCAGCAGCACAGTCACTACCATGTCGGTGGCGTCCAGCCAGGGTGGCCACCCACTGGGCCTCTCCAAGATCCCAGGCTGGGGGTCTGTGGGGAGACAGTCCGCGTCTGTGTTGGGGACGCAGGTCTGTGTTGTGCCCCCATTTCTGCTGGGGTCCTCATGGTCACTGAGGGGGCCTTGCCCTCTGCCCTTCCCAGCCCCTCAGCAGGAAGCACAGCTGAAGCAGAGGACAGTGCCCCTGGTGGCTGTGCTGGGCCCTGTCTCTCAGGCTGCGGGTCACTTCTGTCCCCCGGCTGTGCTGACTGTCCCCTCCCCGTCCTGCCCACAGTTCGGCAAAATGTCGGTGAAGGAGGGTGCCCAGCGCAAGTGGGCAGCACTGAAGGAGAAGCTGGGGCCGCAGGACTCGGACCCCACGGAGGCCAACCTGGAGAGCGCCGAGCCCGAGCTGTGCATCCGGCTGCTGCAGATGCCCTCTGTGGTCAACTACTCGGGGCTGCGCAAGCGGCTGGAGAGCAGCGATGGCGGCTGGATGGTGCAGTTCCTGGAGCAGAGTGGCTTGGACCTGCTGCTTGAGGCGTTGGCGCGGCTGTCAGGCCGCGGGGTGTCTCGCATTGCTGACGCCCTTCTGCAGCTCACCTGTGTCAGCTGCGTGCGCGCCGTCCTGAACTCGCAGCCGGGCATTGGGTACATCCTCAGCAACCAGGGCTATGTGCGCCAGCTCTCCCTGGGTGAGCACCAGGGCAGGCTGGGCCGGGGCGGAAGCCAGCAGGCAGGCACCCTAGAGAAGGGTGGAGGATGTCCCCTCCATTTGTACCTGGCTGTCCCCGTTCCCTCTGTCCCGTGACTCCACAGCCCTGTAGGGGGCCACACCCTCAGTGCCCAGGTTCTGATCCACATGGTGGCCCCCGGGTGCCCCCAAGTGCCTGTACTTGCTTCAGACCCTTTCTCTTAGATGGCCAGGTACAGGCACAGCCTCCGTCTCTGCTGGTTTATACCACTTCCTCCAGGAAGTCTCCTGCACCATGGTCTGGGTTGGGCCCAACCCCTGACAAGAGCTCCTTGCTGGATGGTGGTCTTGTGTGTCCTTTGCCCACCCACTGTGCTGCTGCAGGGTGGCAGCCAGGCTCCATAGAGGCTCCAGAGCTGGCCAGGGAGCGTGGGCAGTGATAGGGCAGGGCCATGGGGACGGCTGAGTGACCAGCCAAACTGGGGCCCAGCCCGTCAGCCTGTCTCCTCAGCCGGCCCCAGACAAGACAACCTCCAAAACTTTCCCAGACCGGAGTCGGGTAGGATGTCAGGGTTTGTGATCAAGGATGCACCCCAGGCTGTCTGTCCTAGCGTAGTTGATGCTATTTGGGGAAAACTGCACCCAGAGCCAGCAGCAGGGGCTGGACCAGCCCCAGAGGACCAGGTGGCCCCTGCCCTTGCCTCCAAGCTCTCCTTGGAGGGGTGGCCCTGTTGTATGGAAGGCAGGGTCCAGACATCGGGAGGAAGCAGGCCAGGGCTGTGCTGAGCACCATGGCAAAGCCAGGGCGCCCCCTAGTGTCCTGCCAGCCCCGAGTTCAGTCAGGAGGCCTTGTGGGCCAGGCTGGCCAGCAGGTGGACAGTGGGCCTGCTGACACCCTCCCCTGCAGCCCTGGACACATCCAACGTGATGGTCAAGAAGCAGGTGTTCGAGCTGCTGGCCGCCTTGTGCATCTACTCACCTGAGGGCCACGCGCTGACGCTGGATGCCCTAGACCACTACAAGGTGAGCACAGGGCCGGGCTGGGTGTGGGGCGCCCCTGCCTGGACAGCGCTCACCCGCCCACTCCACAGACGGTGTGCAGCCAGCAGTACCGCTTCAGTGTCATCATGAACGAGCTGTCCGACAGTGACAACGTACCCTACGTCGTCACCCTGCTGAGTGTGATCAATGCCGTCATCCTGGGCCCCGAGGACCTCCGCATCCGCACCCAGCTGCGCTGCGAGTTCATTGGTAACTGCCTGCCTGCCGGCCCCTCTGCCAGCCTCCTGTCCCCACCCCTTTCCCGGGAAAGGCACTGTCACAGGGCCCAGAGCCTCCTTCCACTTCCTGCCTGAGTAACTCGGGCCTCGGGACTCCTGGTGTCAGCCCTGCGGGCTGCAGTCCAAGGCTGGCTGGGCAGCGGAGTAGGCAGCAGTCAGTGAGCAGGCACCATGGGTATCCCCTGACGTCCCATGAGTAGGTCTGTGTGTGGCAGGAGTGACCAGGGCGGGGAGGAGAAGGAGTCAGGGTAAGCCAGGTACAGTAGTGGGGGGGGGGGGGCGGTGGTTGTCCAGCAGCAACCTCCACACCCTCTGACCCAGTGTCCCTCCCCAGGGCTGCAGCTGCTGGACATTCTGACCCGGCTGAGGTGAGTCTCGCTGTGACTGCCCTGAGGTCCTTCCCAGCCAGGCCCCTTCCCTGGCGTCCCAGCTGCCTGGCCCGTGCATCGCCTCCGGGGGGAGGTGGCTTCTGGAGCTGCCCTGTGGTGTACCCTGAACCACCTGTCAGTTGGTGCCGTAGAAACTAGGCTCCCAGGTCCAGCACAGCACACCCAGTTAATGCCAGTGGCAGACACATGACAAAGTGTTAGTACGAGCACATCCTAGATGTGGCGCAGGACGCACTCACAGAACAGTCTGACTCCATTACCTGCAACCTGAGAGAAATTGGTGTCCTGGTGAGCAGGGGCTCAGCTAGCACCACCCCAGGGACATCAGTACCAGGAGGGGTGCCGAGCTCAGGTGGGGTGCCAAGGGCTCCACTCACCAACCAGGTGAGACTGGCAATGCCCTCAGCCCCAGCCAGGGTGCTGCCCCTGCAGCTGTGGAGGACAGGCCTCGAGGGGGAGCTTGACCGTGCCCTTCCCCTCCGGGGTATGTGCAGATGCCTGGGGACCCTGGCCAGCTTGCAGCACGTGAGGCTCAGACCCGTGAACCCCTAGGCTCCGGCTGCATCTGGAGCCTTAGGTCAGCAGCCAGGGCTCTCTGCCTAGGGACCTGGAGGACGCCGACCTGCTGATCCAGCTGGAGGCCTTTGAGGAGGCCAAGGCAGAGGACGAGGAGGAGCTGCTGCGCGTGTGTGATGGCGTCAACATGAACAGCCACCAGGAGGTTTTTGCCTCGCTCTTCCACAAGGTGGGCCTGCGCAGAGCCTGGGGACAGAGACCCTCTGTGTCCCCGGCAGTGGCACAAAGCTGGGTTCATACTGCAGGCAGATGGAGGCTGCGCTGCCCAGGACCAGGGCTGTGCCTTCCTGGACCCAGCTGGCCAGCTGCCAATCAGGGTCCTGAGCCCTGAGCCCTGAGCCCAGCAGCCCTCATTTGGGGTATGTGTGCCTGGAGACACCTTCGTTCGTCACTGTTGGGCAGGGTGTGCTCCTGGCAGCCATGTGGAGATCCCATAGCACACAGGACCGTCCCCTTTGTCACCAGGAATGCTGAGGGGGGTGTGGGGCGGGCGTCCCGGGCAGGTGGTGGGGGCACTGACCTGGCCCGGGCCTCTTGCCTGCCCAGGTGAGCTGCTCCCCAGCGTCGGCCCAGTTGTTGTCTGTGCTGCAGGGCCTCCTGCACCTGGAGCCCTCTGGCCGCTCGGGTCAGCTGCTCTGGGAGGCCCTGGAGAGCCTGGTGAACCGGGCTGTGCTTCTGGCCAGTGATGGTGAGTGGTGGGGCGAGCAGAAGGTGCAGCCCTCCGGGACACACAGGGCGTAGGCCGTGGGGGGGCCAGCCTGTGCCAGCCATCTTGACCTCACCCCTCTGCCTGTCCCCTTCTCCGGCCTCTCCCTTGACCTGAGCGTCCCCTGACATGTTGCAGCCCAGGAGTGCACCCTGGAGGAAGTGGTCGAGCGGCTGCTGGCTGGCAAAGGGAGGCCTCGTCCGAGCCCCCTGGACCAGGCCCACAAGAGTGTCCAAGCTGACCTTGACCAGAATCAGAGGGCCATGCCCCCTGGAGACACTACTGCCCCCCGAGCTGGTGTAGGGGGTGCCTGGCAACCAGCAGTGGCTCCTGCTTGCCAGCGGGTGGCCAGCATCCAGAGCTCCAGCGTGACAACTGTACAGCCCGCAGCGCCCCCACAGAGGACACCCAGCCCACCCCCACCTGTGCCCCTTCTCCCAGGCCCCACCACCAGGCCTCCCCTACACCCCCTGCCAGGCCTAGGGACTACACCTCCCCCTCCTCCCCTGCCCAGCTTGGAGGCTACGCCTCCCCCTCCCCCTCCTCCTCCCCTGCCCAACCTGGGGGCTACACCTCCCCCTCCTCCTCCCCTGCCCAACCTGGGGGCTACACCTCCCCCTCCTCCTCCCCTGCCCAACCTGGGGGCTACACCTCCCCCTCCTCCTCCCTTGCCCAACCTGGGGGCTACACCTCCCCCTCCTCCTCCCCTGCCCAGCCTAGGAGCTACATCTCCCCCAGCACCCCCTCCACCCCCTCCCCCTCCCCCACTCAGCCTGGGGGCTATGCCTCCCCCTCCCCCACCTCCCCCTCCCCTGCCCAGCCTGGGGGGCTCATTTTCCTCAGCACCCCCACCCGCACCCCCCCTGCCTGGCTTTGGCAGTGCCCTGCCCCCACCCCCTCCTCCACTCCCAGGGTGCCCTCCCCCTCCCCCTCCCCTGTTACCTGGCACCTTGGGGCTCCCCATGGCAGCTGGCGTGGAGGAGATCATTGTGGCGCAAGTGGACCATGGCCTGGGCTCCACCTGGGTCCCCAGCCACCGCAGGGTGAACCCCCCAACACTGCGCATGAAGAAGCTCAACTGGCAGAAGCTGCCATCCAACGTGGCCCGAGGTGCGGCCCACAGTGCCCAGGCGGCTGCCCTGGAGGGTGCTGGGGAGGGGCAGCTGGGTAGCGGCAGGCTCTAGCCCGTGAGGTACCCTCCTCACTCACCCAGGCGAGCTGACCCGTGGGCTCTGCCTGCCTGTCAGACACAGGGATGTATGTGTGCGTGTCCACACACGTGTGGGTGCCAGGCAGCGGCCGGGGGTGTCCAGCGCTGCGTGCTGCACCTGGCCCAGGTTCGTGGCCTGATGCAGCCTCTCCCTGCAGAGCGCAACTCCATGTGGGCCACACTGAGCGGCCCAGGCACCGAGCAGGTGGAGCCTGACTTCCCCAGCATCGAGCGGCTCTTCTCCTTCCCGGTCGCCAAGCCCAAGGAGCCCACAGCTGCCCCGGCCAGGAAGGAGCCCAAGGAGGTGGGGTCGGGCCGGACTCGGGGTGCTGGATGGGGCCACCACTGCTGCCCTCCAGGTTCCAGCTTTGCTGGGTCTTCCAGGTCACTTTTCTGGATGCCAAGAAGAGCCTGAACCTCAATATCTTCCTGAAGCAGTTTAAATGGTGAGGGTCATGACCCCAGGCCCAGGCCCAGAGAAGCTATGCACCCTGCCCAGTCCTAAGGGGTGTCAGACAGTGCCCTCCAGGGCCTGGCAGCCTGGCCCAGCAGTGCCCTCTGGAGGCCGCCCTGGGGCAGTGCAGCTCCATCCCCAGGGCTGCCCCCGCTGGGGGTCCTCAGTCTCTTCCCTGCCCAGTTCAGGTAATGGGGTAGGACAGGCCTAGAGTAGCTGGGGTTGCCAGGCCACACACAAGCATGGCTGGGTCGGGATGAGGGCCTCACGACCTCCCCTGCTGCGGGCTCTGGCACTGGCCCGGGGGGGCTGCTCCCAGCCCCAAGCCACCCTGGGAGGGGTGGCAGGTAGAAAGTGTGTTGTTCAGCCTGAGCCTCATTTCCTCAATGACACTGGGCAGATTGTTCTGGTTCTGCTAGCCCTGGCTACACCCGTCTGAGGCCCTGCTGGATGAGGCCCCCAGCAGGTGAGGGAGGCTCCTCACCAGTCCCTGTCCTGTCACCCCTCCAGCTCCAATGAGGAGGTCACTGCCATGATCCGGGCTGGGGACACGGCCAAGTTCGATGTGGAGGTTCTCAAACAACTCCTGAAGCTCCTTCCAGAGAAGCACGAGGTCAGCTGGGGTCCCAGGCCACAAAGAGGATGGGACAGGCCCTGACCTGGCTCTGCCTACAGGGACAGAGAAGGCCACCCTGCCTGGAGCAGTGAGGACACAGGCCCAGAGAGAGCCGTGCAGGAGGGCCTCTGGGGAAGGGCAGGAGTTGGTGTGCATGTGTGTGCGCACGTGTGTGTACAAGTATGTGCACATGCATGCATGCAGTAAATCCCATGCATGGGCCTCCTTCTGGCAGATTGAGAACCTTCGGGCATTCACAGAGGAGCGAGCCAAGCTGGCCAATGCTGACCAGTTCTACGTTCTCCTGCTGGACATTCCCTGGTGAGTGGCTGTGGGGAGGGAATCTGGCAAGACTAGGGGAGGGGCTGTGCAGACACCCCTTGTCCCCAGCCCTTGCGTACAAAAACGAGGGCCTGGGGTCTCTGGAGGGGCCCCCAGGGGTGCCAGGGTCCTCCTGGGAAGGCCTCCTACACCCTAGCACCTCAGCCGCCAGCTGTACAGAATCAGGCCTGGGGCAGGCCTGGGAGTGTGCATGAGGGACAGAGCCAGTGCTCTGTGTCCAGTGGACACTGACTGTGGCAAGGGCACCTTGGTCCTGACCCGTGCTCTGCCCACAGCTACCAGCTCCGGATCGAGTGCATGCTGCTGTGTGAGGGCACGGCTGTTGTGCTGGACATGGTTCGGCCCAAGGCCCAGCTGGTACTCAGCGCCTGTGACAGTGAGTGGGGCTGGGGAGGCGGAGGGAAGGGCCGCCGCACAGGAGGGCACGAATGGGTCTCTGCTGCTGCCAGTGTCAGCATGGCCACCGAGAACAGCAGGGTGGCAGCTTTCCTGGTGCTGTGCTGAGCCAGGGGCATCTAGGGTCAGGGAGTGAAGGCACCAAACCCCACACCGGCGAGGGGGCCTTGGGCCTGCCCTCACCGCTGCCCACACCACAGGCCTGCTCAACAGCCACCGGCTGCCTGTCTTCTGCCAGCTGATCCTGAAGATCGGGAACTTCCTCAACTACGTGAGTCGGAGGTGGCCCTGGCCTGTGCCCAGCCCGAGAAGGCAGGGGACTCACTCCTGGTCCCTTGCAGGGCAGCCACACGGGGGATGCTGACGGCTTCAAGATCAGCACGCTGCTGAAGCTCACAGAGACCAAGTCACAGCAGAACCGTGTGACGCTACTGCACCACGTGCTGGAGGTAGGTGGGCCTACTGGGGACTGCGGGGTGGGTGCAGTGTCCCTCCTGCAGCCCCTGTCCCTCCCCAGGCCACCTGGTCCTGTCTGGTGTGTGGCAGTTCCTAAAAAAAGCAGTCATCGAAAGATCATGGCCAGGATCCAGGAGGCCCAGGGCTGAGCGATTCCTGATCCTCAGTTGCTAAGGGTTACCGCTGGAGGCAGCCCCAGGTGCAGGCGGCCAAGCTGAGTCTCACTGGACACATCCTGTTGCAGGAAGTGGAAAAGAGCCACCCGGACCTGCTGCAGCTCCCTAGAGACCTGGAGCAGCCATCCCAAGCAGCAGGGTAGGAGGTCCCAGGCAGGGAGGCTGCAGACAGGGCTGGCTCAGCACTCACGACCTGGTACCGGGTGGGGCACTGACCCTCACCTTGGGGCAGGACATCACCTCTGCTATGCCAGAGAAATGCGGCTGAGAGGGCAGGGGGTGGCCTGGGCTGGCCCAGCCTTGTGACATGCTCAGCTGCAAGCAGCATCATGCCGCCCCAAGGCCCAGAAGAGGATACTGAGGCAAGGGCAGCTGTGTCACCTGCCAGGGCCCCTCCACCGGGCAGGGGTTTGGGAGGACAGCCACCCAACTCCCCGCCCTGCCAGGTTTCACCATCCCAGATGCCTCTGTGGTCCAGGAGCTGCTGGACCTTGAGGACAGTCACACAGGAGGGCAGTTGACCCCCCTGCCAGGCTGGCTTCAGAGTTCACAGTGCAGCACCAGGCCCCTGGGGGGTGTGGGTGCAGCTCCTCATCCCTGGCAGGCTGGTGTTGGCTCCCCCTGAGCTTGCCTGGCTCTGGTGCCTTTCAGGATCAACGTGGAGATCATCCGCGCAGAGGCCAGTACCAACCTGAAGAAGCTGCTGGACGCGGAGCGGAAGCTGTCCACCTCCGCCCCTGAGGTGCAGGAGCAGTACAAGCATCGCCTGCAGGCACGTGGAGTGGACCCCAGCTGGCAGGAGAGGCTGGATGGCTCCAGTGAGGGGCAACCGCCTGGGTCAGGCCAGGCTGGAAGGGGGCGCAGAGGCAGCGTTCAGAGTGGTGGCCTCCCCAAGGCGGGTGCGGGTGCCCAGATCCTGGCAGAGTCTGGGGCTCCCCTTGGCTGTGGCCCTGCCCCATGGCTGCTCCCCATCTTGCCTGGGGGTGGTGACTGAGGCCCTGCCCCCAGGCCAGCATCACAGCCTCCCAAGAGCTGGACTCGGTGTTCAAGGCCATTGAGCAGAGGAAGCTGGAGCTGGCCGACTACCTGTGCGAAGACCCCCAGCAGCTGTCCCTGGAGGACACGTTCAGCACCATGAGGACCTTCCGGGACCTCTTCACATGTTCCCTGAAGGTGGGAGGGGCTGCCTGAGGCCAGAGGGGTCCTGTGGCCCTTGCCATCCCCAGAGGGCTGCTGGGTGGGTGTAGCTGTGTGGCCCTCCAGCTAGGGCCACCCCTGCCACAGCCCAGGCTCATGGTCAGCAGAGGGCTGCAGGGCTGAGTGACAGGCTCCTGTCCACCCGAGCAGGAGAACAAGGACAGGAAGGAGCAGGTGGCGAAGGCAGAGAGGAGGAAGCGGCAGCTGGCAGAGGAGGAGGCACGGAGGCCGCAGGGCAAGGACGGGAAGCCTGGTGAGGCCGGGCTCAGGCGGGGCAGGGCAGGGACCAAGGGAATCCTCCTCACCCATGTCTTACAGCTTTGCCCCCTCCGGGACCCGTCCTTCTCAGGGCCCTGGGGTGGGATCCGGGTCCCCAGAACAGCTCTCTGAGGGTCCCTGGCTCCTCAGGGAAGAAGGCGGCTGGGAGGCAGGAGGAGGTATGCGTGATTGATGCCCTGCTGGCGGACATCAGAAAGGGCTTCCAGCTGCGCAAGACCACCCGCGGCCGAGGGGAAGCCGAAGGAAGTGGCAGGCTGGCCGTGGCGGACCCCCTCAGGGCCCGGGAGCCTGGTGAGCCCCTGCCTGCCGCCTCTGTGTGGTTCCCCCGGCTTCCACCCTGCAGCCTTGTGACCTTAGAGAGTCACCCTGGCAGGGGGAACCCCGACTGCTGTCATGGTGGGGAAGGGGTCTGCCACAGGTGTGGATGGCCCAGTGCAGCCCCCTCCGACCCCTGGACAGCCCATGCAGCCTGTCCGGTCCCCACTGGCCCCTGGGTACCAGAAAAGCTGGGGGTTTGTGACCTATTGACAAACACCTCAGGGCTCGAGACCTGGGTGGTGGGACAGGCAGCCGGTGGGGGTGCCCACTCCTGAGCAGTTTTCCTCCAGGTCTGGGGACAGGGGTGGTCTGTGTGTCCAGAGTGAGAACGCTGGGACCCAGCCTGCCTGTGGGAAGCCACACTGGGGGCCTCTGACAGGGGTCAGGAGGCTTCTGGGCAGGGTGGAGGCAGGCTCTTGCCCTTCTCTGACCTCATGTGTCCCCCACCCACAGCAGCTGCCAGTGACCCTGTGCAGGGCCCCACAGGTGGCACAGGCTGCCCCGCCCTAGAGCTGGACCTTCGTGCCGCAGTGAGCAGTGAGCCACAGGGCTGCGATTCTCTGGACACAGTGACCCCCAGCCCAGCACCCTGTGGCGAGGAGAGTGGCCCACCGCCCGTGGAGCGGCGCTCCTCCTGGTACGTTGATGCCAGTGACTTCCTGGACACCGAGGATGCGCTGAGCACCTGCCCCTCCAAGGAGGCCTGGCCGGTGGCCTTGGGAGACTCTCACACGCTGAAGCCTCTGCAGTTCTCCAGCAAAGAGCCTCCAGGACCACAGAGTTCAGGACCCCAGGATGCCGAGGACCCTGAAGCTTCTCAGGCCAGGGCAGACAGCACAAGCCAAGGACCGGAGGACATAGGCCCTGGTGGGGACGAGGACAGGGAGGACACAGCCCCAGAGTCTGCACTGGACACATCCTTGGACAAGTCCTTCTCCGAAGACATGGTGACAGACTCCTCTGGGTCTGGCTCCCTCCCCAGGACCCGGGGCCAAACCTCGAAGGGCTCGAGCAAGCGGAGGAAGAAGCGTTCCTCTAGGAGCCAGGAGGGTAATTTGGGGCCGGAGGGGTGGCGAGGGGGGCTCTGGTGTCGGCCCGCGGTCAAGGCTCCCATCCCTGCAGGGCTCGGGACCACTCCCTCCTGCGGCCACCACCTGGTGACTGGTCCTGCCCCCTCCCCAGGGGGCACTGCAGGCTCCAGCAGCGGCCAGGAGAGAGGGTGACTGGGGCACACACAGGGGCGGCAGCGCTTCACCACGGGGCCAGCTTCGGACCCCACACCTGCATCGCTGCATCCCAGACCCACCATCCCCGCTTCCACAGCCCCGGCCGGGAGTGGGGTGGCTCACACCAGGTGCACAGGGCTGGTACGAGGCCTGGGGCACATGGCTGCACTGGGCTCTGTGCCATAGAACTGGGCATGGTGCCGCGCACTGCGGCTGTCCCCCAAGGGCGGCAGCCCCTCCCTGCGGTCACCCGGGAGAAGCTGCTGAGTACATTTCTTTCCTTTGAAAGCAGAGGTTGCCCCTGATTCTGATGATAATAAAACAAAAAGGCTGTGTGTAATCCAGTGAGGTAGGTACACAGCCGCTCTGTGTGCACTAATGTGGTAGGCGCTGGGCTGAGCCTGCTGCCCAGCCCTCCCAGACGCTAACCTGGCTTCGCTCTGGCCCATGGGGCGTGGTGGCAGACGCCTCCTGGGGCCCTTGGTGGCAGCTCCTTCCAATCCTCACACCTGCTGAGAAGGTCTGGGGCTGTGCGTTTTCCTTGAGCCTCTTCTGCTTTGGCAGGACGCAGCCTCAGCGCTAGCCTCAAGGCCAATGGCCTTGGGGAGGAGTGGAGCTCCGTGTGGGGAGGGGAGGGCGGCTGAGGCTGCTCCTGCCGCGCGTTCTGGCCCTAACCACAGCCCGCTGCCCCTGTGGCTTCACTGACCCTGCTTCCCTGGGTGACCTCTGCCCTGCGGGCACACACAGCACAGCCAGGCCTCCACGGGCTGCTGCGGCCCTCGGGGCGAAGGTGCTGGCCAAGCATGTGCCCAGGGAGGCTGTGAGGAGCCGGAACAAGTGGGCGGCCTCCCCCTTGCCTGAGCCGGGTCTGAGGGCAGGCACCTCCCAGCGAGTGGAAGGACCCCGGGGCCATCGATGTGGCCCGAGAGGTTGAGATGGCGTGGGCTCCTGCTTAGAGAATGAGAGAGCCATGTGCGCTTTGTGCGGGCTCGGAGGCCCAGCACCTCCAGCCCCACCCAGGGTGCCCTGCCTCCCTCACATTGGGCCCAGGCTCCAGGTCAGGGCATAGGGATGAGGTTGTTGCTCCCATTGGAGGCAGGGCCAGTATCAGGACCACAAGAGCGTACTTCTTGTCTTTCTGGGGTCCTGGGGATTGAGCCCAAGGGCCTTCACACTGCAAGTTACGTTACTGTGGGACAAGGTACCAATAAATCATTAGGTTTACCAGGCTGGGCTCCAACTTACCATTCTCCTGCCTCAGCCTCCCAGAGTACTGGGATGACAGGCATACCTGCCTGGCACAGGGCGAGGGGTTCCATGGACTCCTACCTGCAAGTGCAGCCCATGGGGGCCTGGACCCCACCTCAGTGGCGTAAGTACAGGTGCAGCCCCTGGCTATGGCACAGCCCACCGCCCTGGGCACACAGCCCAGCTCACTGTGGACTTGCTACCCCTGTCCACCAAGGACATGAGGGCATTGGGGCGGTGCCCAGCGGATCTTCAGGGAGTGCAGAGGGTGCCAGGCACACAGGGTGTCCAGGTGGAGGCCCTGGTGCTCAGCCACAGCAGAGACTGAGCAGTCGGAGGCTGGCCGGAGGAGCCAGTGGGGACAGAGTATAGACAGTGGGCATGGATCAGAGGGAGCCTGGAACCAGTGTGGACTCGGGACTCAGGGCCCAGCCCTGGCAGAGGGACGGAGGGGATAGGGACCAAACGCTGTCCCCAGTAGGGCTGCTCCTAATGACGTTGCTTCCTTTGCTCCACAGGCCTCAGGCCCAAGCCCAAAGCCAAGTGAGAGGCGCACAGCCCTGGCACCGCATGGCCCTGGACATGCTGCTAGGAGGCTCCTCTGACCAGGCTGGGACTGGGCCCCGAGGAGCCCCCGAGGAACTCTGTGCCTTACCCAGCCGGGGGCCTTGAAGCCTCCTGGTGGTGTGGCCAGGACCCCACAGACTCCAGCGCTCAGGCCTGGCACCTCCTGCACCACCTGCACGCACACAGCTCGTGACCTGCTTCGTGACCTGACACCGCTCATGCCCCGGTCTGTGGGCCCAGCACTGCTCTCCAGGTGCCTCGCCCTCGGGAGATGTCGCCTACCCCTTCCTCCGTCAGCTCAGCCAGGGCAGTTTTGTGTGTGTGTGTGTGTTCTGGAGACAGACTCTTGATAAGTTGCCCAAACTGGCCTCCAACTTGGGACCCTCCTGCCTCAGTGTCCTGTGTGGCTGGGGTTATAGGCACGTGCCACCCCGCTCAGTGCTCAGCTGGTTTTTGATCGGAAGACGTTTCAGCCTCTGTTTGAGTCTATGCTGTCCAGAGGCAGCTGTGTTGGGGCAGTGCAGGAACTCCAGGCCTGAGCTGAGGCAGCCCAGTGGGCAGTGCCATGGGCAGTGTGCCCAGCCCCTTAGGGTCACCGGGGGCTGCCCTGTGACCCTGCACCTCGAGTGGCCACCTCATCAGCACCCTCCCAGGACCCGCTGCCCAGGGCCCAGGTGGACCACTGAGGCTGGAAGCAGAGGGACTTTGACCAATAAAAAGCAAGCCTGGCCCAGCATGGCCTTCGTGTTCAGGCAGAGGGACTGGATAGGGCTCTGGGGCTCCAGCTCCCCACCTTCCCCTCACTGACATGGGGAGAGGCATGGTTGAGCAGATGGGGTGAAGGGAGAACGGGTGGGTAGAGGGCAGGTGGGTACAGGGACAGGTGTGCAGTGGGCATCACTGGCTCTGCGGCTGGGGAAGCCAGACGGTTGCTGAGCAAACGCCAGCGCCTGCCCAGCCCTACACTCTGGGTTCGGCCTGGCCTAGCTCAGCTCAGTCCATCCTGCCCTCCCAAAGCCCGCCAGACAAAGGGTGGCCCCAGAGACAGCACCCATGTCTCTGGGACAGCAGAGGGCAGGGCTGGGGGCTCAGCAGCTGAAATTTAAAATTGTTGGTGGGCGTCTGGGCCATGGCCCTCTGTCATTGTGATCATTGCAGTTCAGGAGCCAGGTGATAGCCTGAGCAGCAGTCAGGACCCAAGAGCGGCCCTGGCCCTCGGCTGCTCCTCGACAGGAGTGTGCACTCCACACAGCCCGCTCCGGAGGCTGCTGCCCACCTGTCCTGCCCAGCAGCCTGGGGCGCCCAGCTTCTCCCAGAATCTCCCTGTGCCAGGCCAGGCATGCGGCCACACGGCCCTGGCCCTTGGGGTTTGTGGTAGGAGGTCTGCTTTCCTGCTCAGCCCAGCAGTCTGGAGCATGCTCAGTGTGGCTCAACTCATCTCCCTCACGTGAGTCCTGCCGGCGCGATCGCCCTGGTCATCACTGCTGCCCGCGGACACTCCATGTGAACGCAGTCATTCTGCACAGTTCTTTTTGGGCAGCTTCTTCGCTTATGCTTTCAGCTTCCAGGTTGTAGCCCAGAGCAGGGCCAGTCCCCCTGGGCCAAGCTCCCATCCGCAGGTCCAGACTGTGTCCCCTCTCCATTCTGCCACCCGCCGGGCCTCCCTGAGACCAGGCGTGAGCATTTGTGCGCTGGTCCTCACATCCACCCTGCACTCCTTGCACTGCGGAGGGTCCCTAGCAGGGTGGTGGCTGTGTGCTGAGTCCAGGTTTAACTGTAAGAACCTGCAAGACGACTTTCCAAGGAGGGTGCCCCCTTGCCTGGCCTCCCCGCTGCTCCTGCCCCCTGCCTCCTTCAAGCACACAGCACTGACTGCACTGGCGCTGGACATGGGCTCCTGGGGCCCAGGCCAGCCCCCGCGACTGGAACAGGGCCTCCGCAGAGCCTGCCACCCTACCACTCCCCGGGAAGCCCGCTAAGTGGGCCCCCGGCTGCTCACAAGCTGGTCACACTGAACCCTGGGGCGCTAGGGGTTGGGGGTGCCTGGCAGCAGGTGGCACTTGTGGGTATCAGTGCCCCAGACCGCCCAATGCAGTACTGGTCCCACAGGGGCCTCTGTGGAACCCACAGGTGGCCACACCATGCCGCTGGAGGTGCCTTTGGCCCACAAAGCTTGGTGGAGGCCACTTGTCCCAGGTCACAGCAGCAAGGCCACAGCCCACCACCCTGTGACAGGCCAGCTGTGGGGCGGGGTGATCTAATTTGGGCTGGGCCATGTGACTGGCGGGGCCCAGCTGTTGGGCCTCCATGTCTGTTTTTAGAAGAGCACTGCCCCCCTCTCCAGTCCATGGCTGTTTATAGTCTTGGGCCCGGAGTCAGTGCCCCAGGTCAGCAGTGGCCCGCAGAACCAGCCAGAGCCCTCACAGAGGGACAGTCAAGCTGTTCCCCTGGCCCCTGTGAGCCCTGACTCACTCGCACCAGCCTACGACCTGGGTCCCCCAGGAAGGGCAGCTGCACTCCCTCAAGCCCTGGGCACTGCCTGAGGGGACAACAAAAGGCACCTGCTGTCCGAGGGGACTTCCAGGCCAGGCGCCCACTATGCTCCCCTGGGGGGCACAGCTCCAGGACCCCTGGATTTGTCCAGCTGCCATCCTGGCCCTGCCTCACCTATGCAGCCCCGTGTTCCGAGACCCGACCCCGCACTGTGCCCAGCAGCCCCACCTGCAGCAGTGTCGGTCTGAACCAGGCTCTGCTGCCCCGGCCCAGCCACTTCCCGCCCGGCAGCGGTCACCCACGGTGGTACTGGCAAGGCGAGGCTGTGTCCCCGGCACACAGAAGCTCTCCTGGGGACGTGGTCCGGCAGCAAAGCCCCGACTGCTGCCACACGCAGGACCGAGGGAGGGGACAGACCAAGCCAGTCCACCTGGGAGTGGCCCGGGCGGCTGGGAGCCCACAACCTCTTCCCCTCAGCGTCCCCAGGCCCCTGGGGCTGGAGCAGAAAGGGCTGGAGTCAGCCTCTTGAAAACCGGCGCTGCGGCGGGCGGCCGGGGCGCACCCG